TCAGTCCTTCAAATTCCGCACTCCGATCATCTACTGCGGAGCCACAAAGACTCTATGGTGAGCAAGGCCCGTTACGAAGATAATATTTGTCACCCATCCTGCATACTGCTAGGATCGGCTATGTCGATAGCGTCATGTTTGTAAATAGAATAAGAAACGTGGGAAATTTTGAGCTCGGTAAAGAGATGGAAGAAATAAAAAATAAGAAAAAGAAATTTCCCCTTTCTTTGTTCCACGCTCTGACAGCATCTTTCTCTATTTCTTTACCGAGCTTAAAATTCACCATCTTTCTTATTCTATTTACAAACTCTATCAGTCTTGGTAACAAGAAGCCTCGATGCAGGGCCCTGGGATTGGAAAGAGGATGCGTTTCAAGTCTCAGTGAGTTGATAAAATAAATTGCCTTCCGTAAAGAGTTTCAAAGCTGACCTTTCGAGCGTTGGCCCTTCGCTCTGAATAAGGGCTATAACCCCAATAACCCCTTTATTCAAGATAAGGAACAGTCTGATTATGTGGTTGAAATTTTAAAGTTCATGGTCAGTTAAACCCGGAGGTTTGCGAGAATGGCAAACAGTAACAAACAAATCATATTTTTCACACTTTTCGTTTTACTTTTATCAGCAATAGAAAAAAAACACACTCCTGCTCACTGTAATGCACACATTTCTGTTAAAAAAAAAAAAGCTAAAAGCAGACAGCAAAAACTACAACTCTCACCGTTTGCGGTTTGACGAAAATGTTATGATTTTGACTTTAAATAGCTAACGAAAAATGAACAGAACTGTCTTAATCAACGAAAGCGGATTCACTACGTTTGAAAGGCTTAAAAGCGAAAGACACTAAGGCTCGTTTTTTATGCTTTTGGAGACTTTCCAAAGCATTTGGTCAATGTGAATAGTCCTGCTCAACATAGTGGGCATAAACATCACAACAGACTCGTCCATCGTTGTCTTCTTCAGTCCAATTCAAGTAATCTTCCCCGTACCACAAGCGCAGATGTTTACCAGCATGGACTGGGTGACTACCGGAGATAAAAGACAAAATGATTTCGGGGGAAAACGAGTTGTATCCGGGAATCTCTGACCACATCCCCATTCCAAGAGTAAAAGAATTGTTCCGGTGGTAAAATGACTCTATTAGATGACGTTGAGATGACATCATTGATGTGGTTTATGACAGAAGGCCTGTTGCCACAGCCCCAAAAGGACCACTGTGGGGTAGAGGCATTGACGGCGCAGGTGACGTAGCCATGCAGATAAACCAGTTTTACAGCTGCCAGTTTTCCACAATATGGAGCAGAGAACTTACCAAACTGGTTATTCTTTGCGCCGAAGCAGACTGGAGAGGTGTTCATCTTTATAAGCGGTAAATAAGCTGCTCTCCAACGCATAAGTTATGACACAATCCAAACGATGCAGATTTAACTCAGTAATGGATAGCGTTACCTACACTTCGAAAAAACCAGGGCCTCGGCGGAGAGAGAGAGGCACTATGCGAATAAAAGCTTTTTAAACAAAAAAAGGAAAAGAAAAGAAAAGCACTTTGCGACACATTGACATCGACGAACGGTTCAAACCAGAAACTTTCATTCGGAGTCGAGAGCGCTGGCCGCCGCGTCTGTTGCAAGCTCAAATTACTCTTCACTTTATCTCCAATCATTAAACACTGTAATAATACACCTATGAGCAAACTTAAAGAATGCTGATACCTTCCTCCTCTCCTTGGGTTAAAGAACAGAGGTAAATCAAAAGCAAAGTAAAAACCATCCGTGCTGTGTAGAACTTCATTTTTGCATAAATCTGAAAAGAGGTCACGAAGAAAACGACGATTACTAATTGTGAGTAAACCCACGTCAATAAAGATTTTCGACTATTTCGTATCTTCGTGCAATACTTTGCGCAAATGCGTTAAATTCGAGAACAAAACTGGGAATCACATTTGAGGAATAGCTTTTAATCGACAATGGATCCTACCTTAAGTGTTTTGAAGTACTGAGAGGAAAAAATCCCCAGTGGTCACTGATACTTCACTGTCTCTGATGGAGTGAGGGTCCTACACTTATTTGACAATAAGATCACTAAAAATTTCTTTGGAAACGCAGGAATGTTGGTTGTTATTGACTCAGGAGTGAGCTGTGATAGATATTTTTTGTAAGCCTTTTTATGTATGTATATACACAGGGCTAAATGAAAAGAAATGGGACCAGAATAATATTTCAGACTTTACAATGAACGGAATAATACGCGCCCCCGTGATTGGTTGATACTCGATACAGCGTACCGACGCGCTGCTGACGTCAATAAAAGATTGTACTCTCTTTTCTCTTCTAAAACAGCGGATAATTTTTTATTACAACAACATTTGTGAGATTTTACTGATTTAAATAGCAAGTTAGAGTTGTCACTCTTCGGCCTCTTGTAAGCCTTAAGGAAGGCCACTCACAGGAAACTTACTGCGCTAACTCAAGTGTTTGTACAACACGCCAAAATATACTTTGCAACAGGATGGAACTATAATCAACGCGCTGAAAAATCACTCTGACAAAAAATAATGGTAACCTGATCGATCCCATCGCAATTCAGAGGCTAGAAGGCTAGAAGGATATTTTCATTTCGGAAAGTTTAAATGGAAGGCTAACTTAAAAATCGTAACTCTCTTGAGGGTCGGTCATTTTGGCTGGTAATTTTGAATGTGGTAAGGATGGTAGCCTGTTCAGACATCCGACCTGTTAAAAGAGGGATTAAAATGGAATGAACCGTTGGCCGTAAAACGGAAAAAATAGTGATTAGGCAGAAAAATTGACAAAATATAACAATTACTCGGGAAAAATGTTATTCGCAGTTTTTTTTTTTACTTTTAAAAATAACAAAAAACTTAACCGTTTGCCATAAAATGGCCAAACATTTAACCGTTACCCTTAAAAGCCATCACCCCATCGAGAACCCCCATCTTTAAACGCAAACTCCGCTATGGGAAAGTGGAACCGGCAGGACGTCGACTTAGAAATTTCAAAGGTATATTGTAAGATAAGTCAATCCCATCCCATTCCCATACATGAAAAGAAGAGTTTGATCCCCTGACTGTAGATAATTTGTACCTTCTATTATTTTTCAAATTTCCTTTTCATATATGCAGCTTCTAACCTCCCCTGGAAAAAATCATTTTGGTTGCCATTACATGAATCACCGTGATGGCAAATTATGTAGATGTGGCTTTGCCCATCGAACTCATTTTGGAACTTGCACACAAGGCGACGAAGGGACAGTGTATGAACGCTGAATATGACAAAGGAATCTTGAACACTTCATAGTTGAAGGAGGAACAGAAACTATTTGAGATACAAAGTACATAACGGATATGCAAGCTGCGCGGACAGAGACTTCCTTTAAGTTGCACAGTGTAGGGTTAACACTCGAAACGCCAGCTCTAGAAACTTTCTACAGTGGCCCGTTTACAACATCAACTCTTCAACTCAAGAATCTAGAGTTGCTATCGGCTGCGCACAGAGCAATTCTCGCTCTCCAAACGTGACGTGCTCTCCAAACTTCCCGTGTGTATCCATCACTTGATATAAAGACATGGACCAATTCTTTATTTTACCCTCAGACAGCACTCAGCTATGAGAAAGACTCGCTATATCTTTACTCGCGGCACAATTTTTCGAAGAAGTGTGTTTGGGATGCTTATCGCTCCTTCCCCCACCCTCCCCTCTCACAACGATTAAATGGTCTAACCAAAGCAACCATCTGTAGTTACAATGATAGAGGGCTGTACGCAAAAAAATTATCTTACGGAAAAAAAATACGCAAACAATAACAGAACAATTTTCAATACGCCAAACCTTATACCCGATATTGAGGACTAAGATAAGCTAATAAAGCTGGTCTTGCCTCTATAATTAAATTATGAGCGGATAACGCGTTTAAAACTCCTGGGAGGAGAGGGAGATAGGAGTAGATTCTCTAGACTTAAAATGACGGTAATGCTTAAAAGATGATACAGTTTGGATAAATACGCAAGGATTTGTTATGTTTCTATAGCATTTATGCCTTCACTTTAGGAAATGTTAGAGCCTTTGAACTGAACATCCTTTTGTTACACCCAGCATCACCTTTCCTCACCTTTTCCTCCCCCACATCCGTGATTGACATACAGAGGGTCAATAGTAAGAAAGGGAAGAAGCCTCCCTTTAAACCAGAAAAATTTTGACAACTCAAAATCATTGTCCACAGATTTTTATTTAGTCTTTTATTTCTCCTTAAAACCAGTCATTCTGATAACTAATGGCACTCCTCACCGATTACCAATGTGTATGCCCTTGATTTTCGTAAGAAGGCGCATGCTCAGTTGCTTATGCGGTCCTTATGCCCCCTTCAAGAACATCCAAGAGCCTTGTGCTATTCAAATGTTGAATGTTTGACCAGTAACTCCACTTTCCACTCTAAATAAATTATTCAGATAACAGGTGTTAAGTATAAAATGATTAAAAAATTAAAGTTGACTGATTGACTACTACATTCTCATCTTCAATTTAAAAAAAAAATGGGAAGAAGCCACAAAGGAGAATTACTGAAAATATCAGATCTTCAGAAATTATGGAGAGAATACCTTGTCAGGGATTATTCCCTGTAATCTTCACTTGTATGTCTAATACTTCTCATCCGTTCACAGGGGCGTAGCCAGGATTTTACAAAGGGGGGGGGGGGTCACAGAGGCTACTCACCATTTACACCGCTGCTCTCCCGCGTGTATCAGCGGGCTCAGTCGTATCATCGCGGCATGGAGGCCCATATCAATGGCTTTTACGGCCAAGATATTGTCATGGCGTTTTCGCCACCTGAATATTGTACGTTGTTTGCTCTAAAGAAGACCTACCAAGGGGGGGTCACGGGCACCCCAGGACCCCCCTGGCTACGCCCTTGGTTCAAGGTAAGCAGCTGTAGCTGCAAAGTTAACAAACCCAAACTTGAGCTCTTAAAATGAGTTGTCAACAAGGCTCATACGATTGTGTCATTCATCATATTTACCAAACATTAACATTAGTAAATACTTCAGTTTGTTTACTTCAGAGTCTTTTTAAAGTTATCTATTTTTGTCTTGCATGAAATAAATATACAATGTAGTCACCATCTATTAACAATTAATTCTGGCCACTACTGGTGAAAATCGAAATTAAAAAAAAAAAATCTTTCCTTTTAAAGAACGTTTGAAACGCAGTTTGTGGATCTATCCACCTATGGCAAGTACATACAGCCCTGACAATATAAGCCCCAAGAAGGGGAAATTTACAAAAAAAAAAACAAAAAACAATACAATGCTTCTAAAATCCTTCTTTGAAGAGCTGAGTAAATGTAATGCCAAAATTACCACCAATTGGACATTGTTTTCCTAAAAAAGGTTTCTGCATAATTGTTTACAATCTATGGAAACCATCTTCACTCCTTATTTACAGACATAATGTATACAAATACACTACAATGTTCTAGATTATAAACCAATCTAATGTCCCCCATTTGTCCCAGGCTCCATGTCACTGCCTGCATCTTCAGCTTCCAGTACAAGTCTACTCAGCTCTCCTGCACTATAGCCCAACAGGTTTTTCAGGTCACACACAAACTTGTATACAAACCTGTGAGAAGAGAATCCAATATCAGTAAGCCAGTTATTTACGTCTGTATCATTCTGTCCATACAATCAAATGAATGAACAAAGGCTGATAGTTTTGAAAGAATCTGTTTGGGGCTGCATCGGTGGGAGTAACGAAATAATTTGGATATATCAACAAAGTTAAAATGGTAAATTGGCCATTCGCTCCGACGAAGGGCTAACGCTCGAAACGTCAGCTTTTGTAATCGTTAGGTTGGCCAATTTACCATTTCACCTTTGTTGATATATCCAAAATGAATGAACAGTTTCACCCCTAACGCTGGTCCTACATTTCTAGCAATTTTAGATCTGAGAATTGGTGTTATAATCACACATTATCCCATAGTTGATATTTTTAATTCTTTTTTTTCTCCTTTTAGCTTTCAAATGAACTAATATTACTTAGAGAAATTCCTTTTTGATCCTTCTTGAGCCTCTAATTCAAGGTTGCTCTCTCTCCACATTGACTTGCTTTCATATTCAATCATTTAACACAAGTTCATCTCATGTAGATACATAATCATACTGAAATAGAAAACACAATTTACCCATAATCTCTGAGGACAGAGACTGACAGAAGGACATGTAAAAAAAACAATTTATTCATCATGTTGAATCAGATTGTAAGTGTTATGTTTTCAGGCTAGAAGACTTCAAAGACAGAACAGTCACACACACACACACACACACACACACACACACACACACACACACACACAAGAAGGTGGTTCCAGCAATGCATGTAATATTGATAACAGCACATGGTAATACATGTAACCACTGTACAATGCCAGGCTCATGGAATCATTTCTATTGCTGAGAGGTCAATAAAAAACATCAGTCTATATCAAAGCAATGCATGGATTGAATGACACAAAACCTTATATTTGCTCCAACGAAGGGCTAACGCTCGAAACGTCCTCTTTTGTAATGCTTATCGTGGCCAATTTACCATTTCAACTTTGTTGATATATCCAAATTATTTCGTTACCCCCACCAACACAGCCTCTAACAGTTTCTTTAGAAACTATCAGACTTTATTGATTAAAATGTACACATGGAATGGAAAATATACCCTCACTTAAGGTTTTTGAGACAAAAATTAAAATTATCCACAAAATGTCTTCTTTACAGACCTCTTCCCATGAACCTTATGAATCATGTCTCCATCGTAGTAATACCGTAAGGCACGGCTCAGTTTTTCATAATTCATGGCTGGTTTGTTTTTGCGTTTGCCCCATTGTTGTGCCACCTGTTCAGGATCATTCAGTTTAAACTCTCCATTCTCTCCAACCCACATGATCAGATGCCGACTGCCTCTGTCTGTCAACAGCTCCAACAAGAACTGCCACAGCTGAATCTGACCATTGTTACCTAGTAGAGAAAAAAAGATTACCAAGTTGTAACAACAAATGTGGAAGCTGGAGATGTGAATTCCTGGCAGGCGACAATTCATTTCTATCCCACACAAGAGTGAAAGAGATATTCTCCATTTGAACCAAAAATATAGCAATTGGATCAAGCAAAAGTACCTGAAATGCCAAATAAAACACTCTTCCTTCTGGACTCTTTTGTTCTTCAAAAGTCATGACTCAATTTAAAAGCCCCCCTACCACCTCCCCTAAAACCCCTCCCTACCCCACAGGATTGCAAAAAGAGGTGCTTGAAGCCTATCCTAAGATTGTTGTATTTGAGCGCAGGGGTTTCATTAAGGGCCTGTGCACCAGGCAAATTGACTGGTTGTGAGGACAGTTTTGCCCACCTGGTTTGACCATCTAGAGGAAAGTTTATCTTATAAAGTAGATCAATTCAAAAAGTTTTGCTTGCCTGTGAAAACCAGTTACCCTACTGCTGAAAACATTAATGATACCCCTGTGAGTGGAGGAAGAGTTGAATCTAGTTAATAGGTCATTGATTACACTTTCCAAGCCTTTTGCCACAAACTGAGGTTTAAAGAAAGAGCCAAAAGGACAGAGGGGAAAAGAAAGCTTTTGAAGGAAAAAACACCACCAACAAAACAAAAATAGAACACCATAAAAAATAGAACTTAACCCTCTGAACTCTAAGAATAACTAGTATCTAATTTCTCCTACCAATATCACCCCTAAATCATACATTATGGTCATGAGAATAAAAGAAATGATCAACATCTAAAGAAGCTCTTGATTGTTCAACAAATTCTCCTTGTCAGCACCAAAGGAATTGCATAGAAAACAGTATCGAGAAAATGCATACTAATCTTAGGGCATTAAGGGTTAGCACTCCATTCAATTGTCTGCTATCTGCGGAACCAGAAAGACCAACATCCCACTGAGTTGAGCAATTATTTGAAAAACTCTGTATGATTCAGTGTGTCTATGTATATAATCAAAAGTGCTGCTTACATGTACTGACTGCACAGTTTCCCATGACATGTGCCTTCTTCGTAGTTTTTTGTCAGTTTTGAAGAATCAACAACTTTGAATCGTTATTGGATAGATGTATATAAATTGTTGAAGTTGTTATTACATTACAAAGAATCTGGACACCTATGAGTTGTTGTGTTTATTTTGCCAAGCATTGGTGGCCCCTACAAATTTTTCAGGTAAAAAAAAAACAACAACAACAAAATGGTTTCAAATGGTAGACCTGGGTACAGTTACCTGATCTGTTGCCTGGACATGTCTTTCCATCAATACTCTTTGCTTTTTCTTCCTCTTCACCACTCACAGCATCTGTTTCATGTGCACAGAGAATACCAGGGGACAACAACTTAATAAAAACTTTCCATAAAATAAAAGGCCACTGGCAAAATTGTCATTGTCAAGTGATGATTGTTAACAAAAAATGAACAATTCAAGCATCATTAACTGCTATGACCAGATTTAACAATTATTCCATGAGCATGCGTTGGATATGAGATGATAGATAGCCAACAAGGCGCGTAGCACCGAGTTGGCTATAATCATCTCATATCCAACAAGTGCGAGTGGAATAATTGTGTTATTAGAAACATTAAATTAAATTATTAATTAAAATTTTATTAAATTTTTAGCTCTCTTTTAATTTTAAGCTGACATGTACGCTTACCATATTTGTGGATTATGGTATATTGGCTGATATACCATAATGGCTAAGCCAATAAAAAGTCTTGAATTGCATTATCCAATGATCTAGTTTTTAATAATTGTAAATATACCAGGCTTTGCTGATGGGTTGAAGCTAAGAATTTGGGCTTATGGCTGAGATTTCAAGCAGGGCAGCTCATGGGATAGAGTTTGAAATTGAACAATTGTAAGTGTCTAACCTCAGAAGTGCACCATTGTGATATACCAATTAATTACTGGCTAAAAATCCAGTAGATTAAGATTTCCACTTCCTCACCCACCAGATTTTGCTGGCATTCAGCACTTTTGTCAACCTTGTTGCTGAGTACAAAAAATTTTCATAACCAGCAGGTGGACATCTTAACATGGTGTTATATGTTCCACAAGATTAAACTAAACAACTGCGTGAATATGTAATTCAATAATTATGTAACGTACATACAAGGCATTGTATTCTACAGGGATATCGGGAAAGGGGGCAACACCTATTTCCAATTTGATGGTTAGATCATTCTTTTCTAGAATTTTCTAATGGAGCACCCTGCAAAGTCAGTTCCATTTGCACACCCATATTGATGTACCTCGATGATGATTCACTTCCTCTTTTTTTACTTCAATCACTCTAACTTTTGTACCTGCAGATGGAGATTTGTCTTCTCCTGGGCTATTCTGAGATGATGTTTGCAGAATTAATGTGGGGGGATCTGACCCAATTCCTGCCAAACCTGTATTGAGCAAAAAAAAACCATATGAATGCCAAAGTCGTGCAGTGTTGAGCATAAGAGGGAGCAAGTTAAACCAAAGGAGCACTCACAAAATCCCTTTAGTGCAAGTTGGTGTTTGGCCTATTGGGAAAATGGATGCAAGATTTTAAGTTAAAAAAACTTTTGAAAACAGACTCTCCCACTTCATCTGAAGTTCACACCAGATAGCTGCAAATTCAAAAAATGACCAGAGGCTTAAATGTACTTGTGCAAGTAAACTAGCAAAGGAGTATTCCAGTTGGAAGGGCATCAACTAGTGGAAGCCTCATCTGAGGTTCCTCATCTCAACCCAAAATTTCACTAAGTCAAGCATATTCATTTGGTCATCAAACCAACAATGAGAGAGTATAGCTAAGGTGTCTTTAGAGAGAGCGTTCTTAAACAACTAAGCTGTGTACAACTTACATATGTAACTTTCTCAAAAGTGGTGTAACATATTTGTCAGTGATATAATTATAGTTAAGGTGGCTGAACACAATTTTCGCGTGCGCTTTTGCTGATGCAATTCAGCACACGCACTAGGATTGCAAAAAACAAACATGCCATCAACAGAGCGGTCATTTCATTTACTCAACTTGTCCCACACTATCTGTGCTATTTTTTTCTCTATAGTTGGCCCAGTTTATAGAGGGATTTAATCTTTTATTACAAAGATATGTTAGAAAAGTTAACGGTGCAAAGAACCCAGCAATTCTCAGCTTTTTCGTCGTTACAGAAAGAAACCAGTTAAATGCAGCGCATGCGTAGTAAGTCTCAAAACTGCAATTGAATGAAAAATTGCTTTCTCGGAAATGTGCTTATTTCTTGAGAACCACTCATTAGAATTTCATAAAATTTTTGGCTGTTCCGAAAACGCGGAGTGCAGAGTGCGGAGTGCGGAGTGCTGAGTCTAAGAAAAAATAAAAAAATAAAAAATTAAATGAAATAATTAAAAGAATAATTAAAAACATAAATACAGGCTGTTCCAAAAATGCGGAGTGCAGAGTGCGGAGTCTAAAAAAAATTTAAAAAAATGAAAAATGAAATGAAACAATTAAAAGAATAATTAAAAACATAAATACACTAGAAATAGAAATTTAAGAAATAAAAATAATAGTTATTAAAAAATTCACGCTGCCTGAAGTGGACTGCTCATATGGTATATTAAACTCAAGATTTTCATACTAGTTAGCAGTTCACTTTTACCACTTATTACCAGCTTTAAATGAATATATTAAGTACGTTTATCCCCGTCACATGCCTTTCCACGTCAATTGATTGAATGCCTGGGTAGAGGAGACAACTTATCCCTCAGCCTTTTCCAGGTAAGTTGAGTCATAGCTGGGAAAATGGTGAGCGAAAAAATTGGGAAAAAGCGCTATTTTTACTCTGTTTTGCGTTAAAAGCCTTCAAGTACTGTGTATCATGAATTTAACTTTATTTCCACCTTGAAATCAGTAATTTTCTTCCGGAGAAGATATTAGATTCTAGCAGAAAAAAAAAAATACATGGCCGCAGTCACGGTAGTTGCACGTGAAATTGACAAGACAAGCAACCCTGTGCCATTAAATGGCTTTTTTGGGAAAATTCTTATTTTTATAATTTGATTTCTCAAAGTGCAACTTTACCTGTGCATTGACTTGTTTCTCTATTTGTCAATCTACATTTATCATCTTACTATTTTTCAGCGCTGAATATCTTTCAAGGTTTTAGTTTGAGCTTTGCGAGAACTTTAGGACACGCAGTTGACAAGTTGTGAGAATGGTTCAAGGGTTAATTCACACGGGCAGTTTATTTTTGGAAAGCAAAGCTTGAGATTATTTCAAGGCAGTACAGCTTTTCACTAAAACCAAAGGTGTAATTTCTTGCATTTTCTAGACATGGTCAACACTGGACTGTTCTTTACTCTTTTTTTTTTTCCGTAAAAGTGAACTGCTAACTGTGAAAATCTTGAGTTTAATATACCATATGAACAGTCCACTTCAGGCGGCGTGAATTTTTTAATAACTATTATTTTTATTTCTTAAATTTCTATTTCTAGTTTATCTATGTATTTAATTATTCTTTTAATTTTTTTATTTTAATTTTTTTTTAGACTCTGCACTCCGCATTTTCAGAACAGCCGAAATTTTTCTCAAAAATACTTCAGGAAATAAGTAACTGGAGTAATTGAAACAAATTGATTTTAAACAAAGGAAATTCTAGAAAATAGAGTGAACCTTCAACAAAGGATAATCAAAGATGTCTCTGTTAAATTGTCAGCAAAATGGTGTTAACTTGTGAGTATCGTTACATGCTCGCTGCATGCAAATTATAAAGAAAATCTAATGACTAGATTTTCTACAAAGAAACAAAACTGATTTTAATTGCCTATTTATATCTATTCATGTCGCCATGGCAATGACATATACGTCAGCTTAACTATCGAAAAAAGCAAAGTTTGTGTTGTCAACTCGCTTGCTGCCAATTTTGGCGACTGAGAGATCAAGGGTTTTAGAGAAAATGGTGAAAGAAACAAATTTAAGGTATCAAAAACTGTGTTCAGCCACCTTAATAAAAAAGGCTACCTTTTAGAGAGAACGACCCTTGTGCTTGGGTGATCCCAATTAAAGATGCTTCATCTTTACCAGAAGAATTTTCCAAACCTTAAGATTCAAAAGCATGTTACAATAAGTAAAAAAAAAACAACAAAACAACACAAAAAAAAATTAGATTTACATGACACAAATAAACAGTAACAAATTCATTCAAGCAGGAGCAAGCCAGGTCCATTCCTACCTAAAAGATATAACATATATTGCACATTCTAAAATCTTGTTTCCAATTTCTTATGAGTGAACATGTTGGCACAGGGAGAATTCTAATGTCAAAGTGACATTCACTAGCTAGTGCAATGGCATTACAATAAAATATTTCCTTACAGCTGTACTTGCCAAAAAGCCTTGCATGAAATAGTTATTTGAAATTATAGTATACACATACTGTAGTTGCAGTAGTCTCAGACCTCCGGCTGATTTGATTCCAATGGTGCACACCATATGTATGTACATGATTATGTGGTTGTGACAACCAAAGCATTTTAAAGAACAATACAGTTCTCTTTTTTGGCCCAAAAGACTCCTGAATGTCAGGACTATTGCATTTCTTTCTTCAGCACTCAACACATTTACACAACTTTTAAGTTCTTACCATTCTTTATGACTGAAATTTGCTGCCCATGGACACTATCTGCAACCAGGCATGTTTACAACATTCAGTTTGAGATTTATTTTGATTACATATTGAATAACAATCAAGAACTGAATTATTTGATACCCTCAGCACTTTCCCTATAGGAAGAAATGTATAATTTGTTATGACCCAATTTAACTTTTTAACTATAAGAAGAATTACCGGTATAATTTATAACCAAACCTTAATTTGTGATTTATTAAGAAATGAAATATGATACCAAATTCTTACACGTAAAAACTCAATCTTGACTGGATGATAAAAAAAGAAAGGAAACATGATGTATGGAGGTTTCATTACATTTTCAAGTACCTGATCATTTTAATGTGAATGGCCGGACAAAAATTCACATCAAAAGTGAACCCTACTATACTGAATGTCCAATGTAAAGGTAGGCCAGTGCTGAAAACTTTTTAACCTGGTACTAGTTCCCAGGCTCCTCCTTCTTATGAGAACCCTGAATAAAAATTCAGTGGCAGATCCAGATGGAGGGTTTCAGGGGGTCTGGACCCCACTTTTTTTTTACTACTGGTCTGACACCAAACTTTCTTGCAGGGACAGATTTCTATAGCACTACTCCCCTGGCTAGTTATGCAAGTATCTTTAATAACGTATTATATAGCACTCCCTTGGAGCAGTCTCTGCAGTTTTTAACAAAAAATTCTGTATTTAATGAATCAAAGTTTGGACCCCCCCCCCCTCCCCCAAATCACAAATTCCTGGATTTATTTATTTATTACGAATATTTAGACAGGGTAGCCCAGTTCAGCAAATAGCTGGTTAAAATGGGGCCCTGTGAAACAATTACATAACACCCACCCATCCCACCCCAGGGGAGGACATCCACCACACAGTAATCTCATGCGTGGGAAATTAACATTTAACATCTCCTGCCCCTAACCCTGCAGGAGACGGGGCCTACGGTTTATTCATCCTTATCCGGGAATACTAGAATATCTATCCATTTCTTGATATTATAGAAAGGCAGCAAATTCTCCTCAGTTATTTTATAAGACCAGGAGTATTGGTCCGGCCAGGGCTCGAACCCTCGACCTCCCCCACAACACAATCCGGTGCTCTAACTAATTGAGCTGGCCGGGCGGTCATAGAGCTGGAGAAATGGAAAAAATATTTGGCTACTCACTATCAGAGTTGGTGCAACTGATGACCGGAACTTGTTGAGAAACTGAGGCAGGGTGTTGACCAGGTTTAGTGTTGCCTGAAAATTTATTTGAAAAAAAAAAGTGTGTGTAATGCGTGAGGAACTACAGCCAATACATTCAAATTATAGATTCGCTTATAGAGAAAAAATGTGGGGGGGACTGTTCTTTCAGGAAAAACTGGATTTACACACAGCTTGAAACTACATGATTTCTGTACAAGAAAACAAGGAAGAAACTACGCAAGAGACAATCACATTCTCCTACTGAACAATTATTCTTGAATTCAAAATTTCTTTTAAGTGACAGTACCTTTAAGCTGACAATTTATTTTAAATTTATATCAACCCATAAGTGACCAATACAGAATTTTTCCTTACAGTATCAAGACAATATCAAGAAGGCAAGTGATGAGAATAAAGAAAATGTGAAACAGAGGATTATTAGTTGATCCAATACCAAATTATCCAAACTAGAATCATACA